GTAAGTGCATTTTTTTAAAATTTGATTTAGTACAAACATGTGTTAAGGTGTAGAATAAAGTTCCCGAGTAAACAAGTGTGTACTTTTTTATAACTCCTAAGTAGGGTGTTCAGGTTTATATGAATAATTCTATATAAATACCTTACAAATGTTACATTCGAGTAAATCATCGTTTAGCATACTATCGTGATTTTTAAATAAATCCTGAATAGATTATTGAAAAGTAGATTAGAGGTGCAAACGCATCAGTGTAACGCAACTGGCATGCATACGAAATTAGGGGAATCTGTCATATGATAAGGGGATACAAAGAACGAGTTCTGACATTTACTACGACGGGGTGCCCCGTGTTAAATGGACGTATATATATACACACGTCATGTTAAATAAATCGCCGAGGATAAAAAAAAAACTAATCCGTATTTCTTTTTAAAGGGGATAACAAACTCGGTGCTGTCGAGATAATGTTGTCAACATATATATTTGTTTTGTAGGGCAAGTACCTGAACATTTGAGTACAGACAGGATATTAATATAATATACGATATGAGTGTGGTAACATATAAACTAGGTATGCTATACCTGTATCTACATCTTGAATGTATTGCTATGTAATGGGTCCTTTCAACTTATTACTTCCACTATATCAGTGGGTTTTTCCTCGCTAATCCGTAGATAAATAAATGTCTGACAAACTCTCGGTACTAGAAAACACGTCAAAACAACTAGGAGCTTAAAACAGAATGTCTATGTTTTGTTTAAGAAAATGGTTTCCGAGCTTGATTTAACATTCGTGTAAAACATCCCGCAACAGAAATAGAAACGTAAGTCAGTGTTGTTGTATATATGTACTCGTGTTTGGAATGACAAAAATGTACTTCAACCACAGGTACATTGTATGAGGAAACGTTGAACATAATTTAGAATTCAATGAAGAGACTTAGCGGTTAATGTGTAATTTTTAAGACGCAATTGTCTAGGTTATCATCAACAACAACACAGCAGTATCGGCACAGTTGATTGTAAGGTAACTGCCACGCGCTCTTTTTTTTCTAATAAAAAGTTAACTTTATCCCCATAAAGACCACAATGATATCATTTGCGGTTGTAGGAGAAGGACTGTAATATGTCTCGCATAACAAAAAAGAAGGCTGTGTACCCAGATAACGGCTCGCATGTAGTTCTTGAGGATAAAAGGTTCACAGCTGGCCACTAGTAACACTCATAGTACTCCAACTAGGGAGTAGAACACGTGACTGCGTTATCATCAAATAGTCTGTACTACTACCTAAAATTAAAAAAACTCGCGTCTTCACAAAGCGTGCGACATCTAGGCGAATTGTCGGCATTGTGCATGTTATTCGTTGATTGATAAACGTTGTTTTTTTCGGACACGTGTTTGTACAATTTTTCTTTTTACAGAACATATGTTGACGTGACATCAGTAGGGTAATTACTTGTGGTAGAGTAAAATATAAAGGTTCTTTCTCGTTAGTAGTCGATGTCAAACACTAACTCTGGAGACAGAAGTGTATACCACTTACAGAGGGAGACGAGAAAATACCGCACAGTTATCGCGATGAATGGTTTATACTGATTAAACGCTACTTTATATCTTTCACGCGGTTCTATATCATTAGTGGTCAGGCGATTAACTACTTATCATAAAAAAAAGATGAAGAAAACATCTCATCAGCGTCAAGTATCACAATTTTAATCAATCGAGCTCCACGCCGTTTAAAGAAGTTTTGATGTCGACTACCGAGGGACAAACTTACAACACAAGGTTTCGAAGGGGCTAAGGAACGATATTGGCCGGTTTTATGGTGTCCACCATGATCTCATTTCGAAATGTTATATTTCATTGTGTAATATGAAAGTCGATGGTTGAGATGTTTCTCATTAGTGTGACTTATTTTTTCGATGTCATTACGCCGGATCTTGTTTGAGGATATCAAATTACTTAAATTTGTCCTAGATTGTCGTGGCCGGTGTTGATGACGAAACAGAAAACGTTAACCATTCCGGAAAATTTGGCCTTATTACCTTTGTTATTTATCAAGTCTCCATGTAAATCTTTCATTTGCTCCTATGTTGCCCCATTTTCATTGATTTGAATTCTAATCACGGTTTTGATGACATTTCGGCATTCTTTTGCTCTTTTCCACAGTTTCATATATACTAGTACTTCGTGTGGCACTATTGTCTTTGGAGACCTTAGACAACATTTCTTTGAAAATCGATGGCAGGAAAAGGGGCATATTGTGGTAACATCTTCAAACAATACCGTATATAAATCAGATACGTGTATACCTAAGATACCAAGACAGTAGTTTATTTCTTCATCAACAATTTTGTAAATTAATCTCGTCGACGTTTAGATTCCTTGGGCATAGAAGTTAACAAGTGCAGAATATTCTATCTGTATAATGATACATCTGTATGTATGAATGCACTGGTGCCACAGGCAGGTCATCATTCTCAGGAACTCTTTCTCATTTGGCGGAATTGATCAAAGAATTGTATGTTGAAAAATTAATGTACATTCAGTAATATATAATCGAATAGATGTATGATAAGATAAACTAGCGGATGACTTCCCGTATACAAAGATCGATTTTTATACACTTCATCACATCAACGGTAATAGAGTACTAATAATAACACACATCTATCACAGACAAAAACAGCGGGACAATCTGCCTTATCAGTAGAAGAATGCCAATCTTTTACACAACATTAAACGTTATCATTTTATTAATAATAAAAGAGGAGGGGCTAGATTATTGATAAACACGACATCAATATACAATTTAACATTATAATATATTTGAATGAGGCACTAAAACTATCTACTCTGTTAGGGAGTCTTTAATGTGAAGTTAAACATTTAGGTTGCAGTAACACAGCATGACATGGAAACAGATACATTGTATCTGTAATAATACGATAGGCGCCGTAATGATTCCCGAAAACTAGTAAATATTGAAATGTATATTTTTGTAGTAATGAAATATTTTGCTAGCGTCATATTTTTTGTTTGTTAATAAATAAACATTGATCACTTTACCATGTGCAATTTAATAATACTGCAGTCTAACGGTCTGTATCACAATATTTCGAAGTATCATTTTCAGTATTGCTATATCTTGGATTTTTATTTATTAATGAAGGATTCATTCAATAGGAAAATGGAGCAGAAAATCAACTCCTTTCATGTTTTGGTATTCTTATCATTCCTAGATTTTCCCATGGGTGTTGGGTGTTTCTTTTATCTGATTTTTATTGGAGTCATCGCTGTATGACGATGTAGTATTCATTGACAGATTTTCATAACACAAACAAAGTGTTTCTGGAACTTTGTATTTGTTCACGCTATATATAAGTATACAACTGTTTATCAACAAAGGTCCTTCGTTTACACTGTAATCACTTGGTTCAAGCAAAACCTGACACAACATCTCTGATGTTTCGTTGTTATCATGTCTGTGTTCAATCTGACTGATAAGATATGTTTAGATACTAGTAGTGCTTTTATTTTGATAAATCTAATATCTTTGTTCATAATTCAAAAGCGCAATTTCGTTTCATTACGATATAGTAATTTATTTTAATTAACGTGATTGCACTTAAGATGTTTGTGTGGTAATTACATGCACATGTACGTCAAAATGATCCAAAGCAGATACCTTTTGTAAACAAGGATATTGTTTTACTTAAGATATTATGTCTTTCTTGCGTTCAACAATATATTTTACATTTGCGTGCCATTGTGACTATATAGCCTCTATGAAAGCTGTGTCGTTGATGGGACTTTAATTACCATGCATCACGAGACACAATTCTTAGCGTATTAATACAACACTGACCGGCACTACAATATCCAATATAAATAAACATGACGGCTGCTGAAATATCGCTGGACATTGTGAGATTTGACAATGTCATTGTAAATGTATGTGCAAAATAAAAAATAAAATAAAAAACACTTTTATTACCACGAAAACAAGACCAAGGTCTGCAATATCGTACAAAATGCACATCGTTTGAAAACACAAATGCCGGCAATGGAAATAATTTTAACGCTCATGCAATTTATCAGAAATATCGTCTGTTACACTGCACTGGTCAACAGGGGTTCGTTACAAATGTCTGAAATACACATATTCTATAGACCTACTGACACATATGTTACAGACCTACTGATATGAGCCACAGCACACATTAACATTTCAGACATTTGTATCGAACCTGTGCTCCGTCGCAAGATCACTCACTTCAAACGCTATCAGTTTCACGCGTCTCGCATCTACGGTTCCTCAGTTTCTGACGAATTGTCAAATAACGACGCTGTTATAGAATCTACCGACTGTTGTCAGGTTCCCGTACAACCAACAAATAAATTCACGCCTGGATTCTTTACAAAATGAGCAAAGAGAAAAGTTCGAATTAACTTCCAAAAATAACTCCCTCGTGGAGGGCAAGGTCGGATTTACGGTGTTCACTGTATTTGTCTATGCGCGAAATTTGTTCCGGGGAAAAATCGAAACAATTTCAAATCTAACCTTTCAGCTCAGATTTCTATTGGTAAACCTAAATCACCCTATAGACATATCATACGCAATTGTATTGATACTGAATTGTGGAATAAAATACGGTGTTCAAACTATTGAACGAAATTGTGTGGACTGTCGATAAGGCGGGCATTTTTAATTTTAAACATTAATTATAAGTTAAAAAAGAACAATAAGAGGCAGAGAAAACGTAAATATAAGTATTTACTGGTTTTGAATGGTATTTATGATCTATTTGAATGACACAGCTTTGCAAGCAAACAACTTAATGCGCGCTATCGCATTATGATTTGTTTGCTTGCAAAGCTGTGTCATTCAAATAGATCATAAATACCATTCAAACACAGTTCAATGCTTAAATAGATATATATATACATGTATTTTCACCACCATAGTATTAACTGGGGAGCAGATGAGTTTATCTGT